TGATCAGCGGATGGGGTATACAACATGATCCTAAATACTACCCTGATCCCGAAAAATTCGACCCGGACCGCTTCAGCCCTGATAAAATAAAGGACATAGACTCTTGTGCCTATTTACCATTTGGAGCTGGTCCGAGGAATTGCATAGGTATGTGAACACTTTTCTTTACTTTAATTTTAACACAAAATTAGAACAGATGGTAGAAAGATAAATTTGAGAACCTCATCATCACAGTGAATTAAAAACTATGTAGTTCAGTAATAAATTAACAAAATTGGCTCAACAGCGCCAATGTTTAGCAATCATTTTTCTAACTCAGCAATCTGTGACAAATTCCATACCACGAAATAATTAAAAACAAATAATGTGCGTAGAATAGAACTTGAAAACAAAAGCACATCTAGTTTTAGGCCCAGCTGCCATTTTGTGTAGATATCAGCGCATTCACACTTTCAAAATGGCGGTGGAAAAAAAATGGCGTTTTGTTAGATAACAAAACGCCATTATTAGATAATATCAAAATTTCTAGATTGATTTTTTCCTTGCAGGACTGCGTTTCGCTAAAACACAATCACGAGTTGGTATGGTTAAATTCTTTTCCAATTTCCGCGTCGAGCCTTCGAAGAGGACTGCAATGAAGTTAACATTTGATCCCTCGCGTGCATTCCTCTCAGCTACGGGAGGAATATATCTGAACATTGTGCGTCGATAAACTTTACAAAATGTTAAATTTAATTTGTATTTGTATTATCTTTGTAAATGTTATTAACTGTGGTAGTCAGAGTCGTTTAATGATTACTAAAAATCCTTTATTGTAGTTTTATCTAGATTTACAATAAAGTTCTCCCTTAGTGACCACTCTGTGACTCTGAGTACGGCAGTAAAGGTACTCAAACCTATTGATTTTTGTACCATAATCTATCTCATTGTATTTATTAATTATTGCTTGTTTTTAGATTTTAGAATTTTGTATAATTTTAATAAAACAAATAATGGAACTCTAAACTTTTATTTGTGTCTTATCAAATGCTAGCTGTTGTACACGACTTCGTGCGCGTGATATAATAAAAACAATAAAAAAGTATAGCCTATGTTACTCATAGATAAATTATCTTTGAAAGAATTTTAAAAAATCGGCCCAGTAGTGTTTGACTTATTTTACTATACATACAAAAATACAAATCGTTCCTCTTCATAATATTAGTATAGAAGTATAAGCTAGTTGTTCCTCGCGACTTGGCCCGTGGGATAAAAAAAAATATAGCCTGTGTTACTCTGATAACTGGTGAAAAAAAATTTGAAATCGGCCTCGTAGATTTTTTTCAATACATACAAAAGTATATATCTTTCTTCTTTATAATATAGTTAGTACAGATGAATATAAAGCGTATCTCGGAATATCGATTGGCCCAGAGCTACAGTCGATCGACTTGCAGGCGACGACGCAGGACAGACGACGCTAGCGCTCTCTCGTGTCGCTGCGCCAACGCAGTAGTAGTAGTAGATGAATGTAAATGGCGACTACTCGAAAGTTGAGTATACTCAACCGGCAGTAACCCGTCGCAGTGTACCAAGATGTTCACCAGTCCACCCTCCTCAACCACTTTATGCCGCTTTGTAACATCGATATTTTGTATACTTTGTACTTTGTATGGAGCAACATGTTTTAGTTTTTAAAAAAGCCACATAAGATTACGCACTCGGTTTGTAGTGTTAGGAATAAAATTAGTACCGTGCTATAGAATTGGCGCAACTCTAGATTATCGGCATAAACGTCACGTCCCTAGCTGACAGCTGTCAATGTCACTAGAAGTATGGATAGATTTGGCGCGCATCCAAGTCTTGACGAGAAGTATTGCTCTGAGTTAAAAGCGACAGTATCAATTAAATAAGTTGTTTAATAGTAGCCATTTCAATATGACTATGCCATAATTTTTAATCAATAACTCGGAGACATTTGGTACACGTGACTTTTTCTATATTTAGGCAAAGGAAATTAGATTTTTATATTTGAATTTAATCGAAGGAAAAGTAGGATAACAATATCTTTTTTGTTAAGAACATGGTTACTCAAAAAGCATGTTGCGATTGCAGACATTTTAATTTTTTTATAAGAGAAAGGGGACAAACGAAACACATAACAAAGTGTTTTTTTTAGTGTGGCAAACGAGCAAGCAATCGCCTAAATAGCGAAGTGACCGCTGCCTACAGACATCCGCAAATACAGATGCGTTGCCTACTTTAATCGACGGAGGAAGAGACGCATATAAAGAGCATATTTTCCCCTTTCTATGCGTCTCCTCCATCGTCAAATTAACTTTCCCATCCAATCCTTTCCTTATAAGCAAAGTGTGGAATGG